TATAACGTGTCTTGAAGTGGGCCTCTTTGCATCCATCTTGTTTTGGACTCTCTGTGCTTCCGGGACTTGTTTGTTTTGCTTCCTTATGTTCAAAATCATTGATTTGATTCTCAGCTTTATCCATTCTACTGTTGTTTTCCTGTAAATTGTTCTTTATTTCAATTATTGTATCCTTCATTTCTGACTGGATCTTTTTTATGCTGTTGAGGTCCTCACTAAGTACCTTGAGCATTATTATAAACAGTGTTTTGAACTTCAGCATCTGATAGATTGCTTATCTCCATTTTGTTTACCTTTTTCTGGAGTTTTGATTTGTTCTTTCATTTGGGCTCTGTTTCTTTGTCTCCTCATTTTGGCAGCATCCCTATGTTTGTGTCTATGTATCAGATAGAGCTGCTTGGACTGTATGTCTTGGTAGTGTGGACTAATGTGGTAGGTATTCTGTAGGGTCCAATGGTACAGCCTTCCCTATTGCCAAAGCTGGGTAATTGAGATGCACCCTCTTGTGGGCTGAATACACCCTCCTCTCATAGTTGAGCTTTGACTGCTGCTGGCAGATCAATGGGAGGGTTTTATCCAGCCCAGTTAGCTGCAAGGATTGTCTGTGACCACTGACCACCAACCTCCACCCTTCATGGAGTATCAGCTGTGCAGGAACAGGGTGGTGGTGCTCTGATGTAGTCTGTAGCTGTCCACTGGGTGCTCTGGTCCTGGCATTTCCCAGGTGGTATAGGCCAAGGTCAGCACCCCACCTCTGTTTTTCCCAGGGCCACCCTGCATGAATAAAGCAATCAGAGATGGCTGCTATTTTTGCTGGACTTAGAGATTCTCAGGCAAAGCCAAGCTGTGAATCTAGGTTGGCTGCTGCTAGTGCTGGGCCTGAGGCTCACTGAAGCCAGGTGTTGTTTGTTTGGAGGGATTTAGGAGGTCATGCAGCATGAGCCAAAACCAGCCATTCATATGGAAGAGCAGTGTGGGTGGGCCCATAAGGCGAGTGGGACAGAGTCTCTGAGGATCTCCAAGGCAGGTCAAACAGTGTTAGCCAGGTTGATGGAGTTTCACATATGACACCAGTTTGCCAGCTCTGTGGAGGGAGGGTTTAGATAAGGGACAATGGGTTCAACTCGCCTTGAGGCCAGACACTTTAGTTCCTTCCCATATTATACTGGTGCCTTTCAAGGTGGTATCCCAGTGTTGGACCTCAGAGGGAGTGAGTCTGAGAAGGTCAGTCCTAGTCCGTGTGTTGGTTCTTTGAGAGGTACTGTTTGGGACTCCAGAAGGTTCCTCCACTGACCCAATCTCTGCTGGTTTTTGCAGCTAGAGGTTGTAGGGACTTATCTTCCTGGCACTGGAACCCTGGGCTCCAGAGTTGCCTGGTGTAGGGCCAGAACTCCTTGCTCCTGATATATTCCTCCTGAATTTTTGTCCACCACATATGGTTGTGGAATCGGACTATTCCATGTCTGTGCCCCTCCTACCAGTGTGGATGGATGTGATTTCTTTAATTTCTTAGTTGTTAGACTTCCATTCAACTGGATTTCTGATGGTTCTGAGTGATAGTTGTTCTATATTTTAGTTGTAATTGTGATGTGGCTGTGCAAACAGGTGAGCGTGTCTGCCCACGCACCGTCTTGACCAGAAGTCCTGCCATTTTTCTATATTATGAATTTCTCTCTAATAATCATATAGATTATTACTCTCCCTAAGGATACCATTCTTTTCCAAAATTTTATAGCTCTTTAGGTTATCATGCACAAAATGGTAAATCTTTTCAATGTACTGACCCATAAAGAATGTCAGTCATGTGGTATTCTGAGGTTTGTTCTTAGGACTGGTAGGGAGAAGGGGTAGGAGAAGAATGGGCAACATTTGAATTCTGGATTATGAGTTTAGGGACTCAATTCTTGCTCCTATGGACAAAACTATAGTTTATCACTGAGACTAATGCATATTCTACTGTGACCTATTTGTGAATAGGAGAGGGGATGGAGAAGCAAACATTTTAAATGTGGTCTTTGGTTCTATCACTCTACTTCTTACTTACAGATTATCACTTTGTAAACTTTGTTATTGCTACCATTTTTAAAATACCCCTTGAAACCTTACACAAACACCTGCAGTTTCAATAATTTTAAGTGTTCACTAAGCTTTAGTTTAAATAATTATTAAGCTTTACCACCTTGTTTGTTGCTTGCATACAATACGTACAGTAGCTGGGAATGCTCTGATGTTAATTCACTATAGGTCATGACTATAGCCAGATTCTTTTAAAACAGAGTAGAATTATTTAGAGTAAATGAGGTCCACAGACTTCGTGTTATGTTAGAGTACTTCTGTAAGTGTAATTTAGAAGGGACCCTGAAAGTTTCATGATAAAAGGACAGTCACCACCCATGACCTGTTGTTGTGACCAGCTATCAGCACAGATCTCAGGGGACACTAGACATGGACTGATCACAGAGCTTTAGAAGCTACCCAGAGACCTGCTGCAGAGTTCCATTTCCACCAGTTTGTAGCAGCAGGATAATACATACCAGTTCCATTGTCAAATCTCAGAACAATAGTTATTTTAACTATTACTTTGAAACACTTAATTTTGTTTTTATTTTCATATTAAGAGTTTCAATCCAGATTCACAGAACTTGGGCTTTCTTTTCTCAAATATCACATCAGTAAATGATGTGATATTCAAATTAAAAATTAAATTTTGCTACAAATCTTCTAAGAAATAGGGTTTTTTTTTCCTTCATGAATTCTTACTTGAAGTGTTCTGTGTGGTACATAACTTCCAGCATAATGCAATTAAAGGTATTTGTAAAACTGTATGTAACTGAACTTTCAAAAACAGCAGAAATCTTTGCAAAAGCAAAGGATCTTATATTTTTCATTTTTGTCTAAAAGGTACTTCCCGTTTACTTCTAACCATGTGTTACCTCTCAGTTACTGCCTCTTGAGGAGCTAAATATATTTGCAGTACCCGTTCATGATAACTTTTCTCAGTTGTGTGGGGAGGAAACCTGATGCTCATGGCCTTTCATCAGTGTTAGGACAATTTTCATCCAGTGATCGATTATCTTGTTTTATGTGAATACCGTTTCCTGTTGCCTGTGAAATAGCATTTGCTCTGGCTCATGCAGTAAAATCAATATGTGTTATTTGGTGTTCGTAATCTGGTCAGCGTGTCTTTAATGTTCATGTGTGCTTGTAGCATATTTAATATAAAATCAACTGGCAGGTACATAAATAGGGTATTACATTTGTTTAGAGTTTTTTCCCAATGAGATATAAAATCATGCATTTTGAACTATTTGAAAAGAACATGAGAACAAAATAAATGATATGACGATTATTTCGGCACTAATTTATTTGTTTGTGGTGGTCATACAGAATATTGATTTTGCTAGCATGTTTTGGGAGGTGATGGCAGACAGTGAGAGTAGCCAGATTTTTGTTTTAATGAAGACTTTATAATCATGTAGGGCCTTCATTTCTATTCTTAGCATGTGAAAATTAGTTTTCAAAGTCATATATAAAATATGGTTGTTTCCTGTGATGTTTTGTTTTTGCTTTTGTCCTTCCTTTTTCTTAGTTTATTCAAATGATATTTTAAGGCCAAATAACATAAAATTAGATTTTAAATTTCTCTTCATAGTAAACTGTATCAATCACAATTACATTCTGTCAATGTTTTAAGTTTTCTTTTGTAGCCATGAAAGTCCTTATCAATCTTTACCATAATTATTTAAATATACAAAAAGATTTATTCGCTTATTCTGAGTAACTTTGAAATGTTTTTCATTACATTAAAACAGTATTTTCTAAAAATATATTTTAAAGAAAATATGTCTTCTCTATAACTGATTTAACCTTCAATAATGAATTATGTGAAGTAAAATTGTATAAAATTTCCTGACATTTTATGAAGATACCTACAAATAAGCCAGACAGCAAATAAAATATCTGAAAGACAGAGATGGATAACCAGTAATTTTTTGATGGATTATACACATAGGTATCAAATTACTGGATCCTTACTTCCTAGAAAAGGTTAATGATTCTTTTTGCTTTTACCCTTTTACTTAACTGTTATTTATAAAGATTAAAACCGGGACTGCTCTGAAGGACCCCGTACCTATGTGTCATTCTGACTGGGCAGGTTTTTCTGATATTACAGGGAACTGAGCTACAAAGTAGACAGTGTTGTTCATCATTGTTTTTAAAGTTCATTCAGTTCTGTACTACATGTTCCACCAAGGGTATTAAGCAGAGTGTAGCATTTGAAACCTCTTAACTTAAACCAGAAAAGACTATAGATCTTACATATCTTTACCAACGTTATATAATGGCCTCTACTTATACAATAATTTATTTAAAATATTAAGAACAACCCATTTTAAATTAAAAGATTTTAAAGTTCTTAGTGTGCAGATTTTTCTTTCTATACTCAGTGTTATAGATTTTTAAAACATTTTATATTAAATAAAATTTCATAAAAATGTGTTTCAGTGTTATCAAACCCCCTATTAATAATTGAACCATAAGCAATATTACCATCCACCTATAATGACCATTCATCTATAGCCTACTGTTTGATATAATCATTCTTATCAAAAATTATATAATCATAAAATATAATAATGTAATCATTTTTATGTTTTATTACATAAATGACATGTTCATTATATAGAATGTTTACTAGCCTTTTATAACTAAATGTAATATTACTCTTACAGGAGTACCTCTTTTTTCATCACTCTAGTTTTTAAAAGATGCACTAGTCATAAATGTATGTAATTAAGGTCATTTAGGTATTAGAGCACTTGAGTCTAAAGCAGGGAATATAATACCTTTTCCTGAAGTGCCTTGAAAGGGGCTTGTTGAAAGAAGGGAACTGTGGCATTCATCACACGCTGACCTCTTCCTGTATAGTTGTGGCCGAACTCTTGCTAATTTAACTTGAAATGCATTTGTGTAACTCACCCCTTTTTTGTGTGTTTCAGGTGTGTGGAGGTCATTGCAAAAGAAGGACAAAACCTGAAAGAGCTGTATTTGGTGTCCTGTAAAATCACAGATTATGGTATGTAATGAGTCATTGTTCTAATCCTTTTTAAGAACAAAATGTTCCAAAATTTTGGGAAGGTTTTAAAAAGAAATGAAGAGCAATATCTCATAAAGACTTTTTATCTTTATTTGGGCTAACTCTGATCATACCAAAATAAAATAATTAAGAAATAATTCAATTAAACCAGAGTCATGTACGTGTATATCAATTTATTGCCACATGGAGTCACATACCTGTATGCACACACACTCACATGGGATTAAAATTGGGGCTACAAGAGCGAAACAATGAAAATAATATTAATATAAGTAAATATTTGCTGTAATAAATACAACCAAGATGATTACAGTGAGTTGATTTGCTTAATTTAGTGTCGTGTGAAATGAATTCCTGCTGATACCACAAAGGCCAAAAATTTCAGTGCTTTAAATTTTTCAAAGCATTGGAAACACCCATATTTAGATGTGGAGGAAAGTGTGTACATTTGTGTGCAACATTTTAAATTATCTTAATTTTCAATGTCCCTTTAAGGTGTAGAAAAACCATGTTGTTTTATAAAAACATTAAAGGTATTAAATAACCTACTCTCTCCTTTTTCATTTAAGTTTATATTTTTCTTATTGATTTGTGTATTTAATTTAAATATAGAGTTTTAGCTACATATTTGGCTTTCTGGAGACAGAAATGGTTTTCTTTACTCTTTTCTGGTATTTTAATTTGTTCATTTGCATTTGAGAATATGCCTTTTACCTTGAGAGAAACTAATAATCTGTTATTTTTGTTAACTGTGATTCCAACCTTCAGATGTTATGTTGACCACCTGCCCTGAGTAGGAGGGTTGTATTTTACCAGCTACTAAATTTATCCTTTGAAAAAAATTCTACTAAAGCTATAATTTAAAAATATAACATTAAAAAGGTTTGGCTTAAAAATAACCCTGATTTCTTTTCAGAGTTAATTTTTTTGAGAATGGTAAATATGTCTTACACATATTCGTCCATAATATTTCTGGGTTGTTGTTTTTTTCCTAACCATACCATGCAAACAATGTTTTGATGTGGCTCTTTTTGTAGTTAGTTTTCTGGTTTGGCTTCTAGGATTACCACTTAGATATAGTAACTCTAAAACCTCCAGTATCTCCTTACTGTCTAGGCTCTACAGGGTTTTCTTTTCCCAATACAGTGCCTGTAGATTTGTTAATTAATTAGTACAATCGTTCACTCCAAACTCTACTTGGCATTCAAAGTCCTTTACCATTAGTCCTTTATCTGCCCCTCCAACTTTATTTTATATTTCTTTCCTTTACCTATTCACTGCCATGGTCAGATTGCTACTAGCCAGGAGAGCTATGGATTAAGTTCCTTAGAAAGAATCCTTCAACGTCCTGCAGTGGAAAATGTTCCTGAAATTACACTCTGTTCCAGCCCCTGTTAAGTCAGCCAATGCAAAGAAATGTTCCAGAAAATGTAGAAAAGAGGAAGATCTTTGTATTTGAGACAGATCAGGGATCAAGTTCTGTCTTTGTTCTTTGGCCTTCACATCTTAGAAGCTCACTTTCCTTATTTGTAAAATGGGGAATTAATGTTTGACTTCATGCTCCTGTATTGCTCGAGCATTCAGTTTAATGAATTAGCACAGTATATTCTACTGATAAATGTTGCTTTCCTACAGAACGGGGACAGAGAGGAGATTCACACAAAATATTTCCATTGCTTTTTCTTTCCTAGGCCTTGGAAGAGGTTTTTTGTTTTGTTGTTGTTGTTACTGTTTATTGTTAGTGATAGCTTTATGTTCTGTTCTTTTGAGATTTTTAGATTTTTTTCTGGTGTTGAAATTGTGTTAAAACCTTATACTTTATATTTATTCATATCTTTGAATTATTTAGGTCAATGGTTCTCAACCTTCTCTGTGTATTAGAGTCACTTGGGAAATTTTTAAAGCAGGCTGATGCCTGTCTGAGCTTTACTCAAAAATCAGTGTCTAGTGGATAGGGGCCCAGGCAATGATTTTGTAAAACCTGCTAATGTCAGCCAAAATCGAGACCTGATTTAGGACAAGGAGGAGGAACCAAAAATGAACATTTGGGGGACTTACCCCCGGGGTGACAAGAAATCTATTATGATTTTTCTCATAGCTCAGTCCTTCCAACTTCTAAGCCCTCTGTCCCACCTTGTCTCTCTTCCTTCTTTTCTGAGGTTTTAGGTGTTCAGAGGGTTTGTCATAAAAGTGTCTGTGCATTTTTGGCTACATTTTTCAAAACGTTGGGGCACAATTGAGTATGAGGGGAAAGGTCCATAGTGTATAAGGTTGTCATATAATTACTATTCAATTATAAAATGTAGATGGCTAAAAGCTGGTTCAGCTCAGACCTCTCTCTCTCTCTCTCTCTCTCTCTCTCTTTCTCTCTCTCATACCATGCTAAAAACACATGAATAATTTTTGTCAAAAAGACAGCAAAAAGGATTATTCATTGTAACCAGAGAAACAGCATGTTATTGCGGTAACTGCTCTGCTGGGGGAGGCTGTCTGTGATCCTTCACCCTGTGTTAATTACAGATTTTAAGAAGGAAAAACTCAGTCCTTGTTTTTTCTTTAACTGGATAAGTAGAGGTGTATTCTGTAGAACTTCATTAGGGCTACTTAGAAATTGTAAAATTGATGATACTTGATAATGGGAGAACTCCATCATCTGAAAGACTGCTCCCTAATTCTGCTTCCTGTTGCTTTACTCATATTACAGCCCGTTTGTCCCCCCTCCTCTCTCCATGGTGCATGTCTGTACATGCTTTCAGCACAGTATACTGAGACTTGGAATTTTTTGCAGGATAAGTTATTTTAGAAACAGCAACTTGCCTGGCATATCATTTGTGATTTTTGTCAAGATTCTTGAAGATGTTGAATGTGATATTATAATACTTAGCAACACCTGGCCAGGCTGTTATGAAGTTATTTTTATTTTAATTTATATTTGATATAGCTGTCATAAAGAGAACTATCATTCCAATAGGCTTCTTAGTCCCCAAATTGAGCATAGATCTCTATGGTAAGGGATCACAATTATAAACAAATCACTAAGTGAGGCACAGCTACATGGAAAATACAGTCTTGGAAAATTGTTCCCTGAAGAGAAATCTAATATTGTCACTATTCTATCACTGAAAAAATATGTTAAAGGCAATACTGTGCGAAAAACTTAAACTTAGGAGTTAGAGATTAGGTTAGAATTTCAACTTTACCTCTTCTTTCCTTTGTGACCTTGAGCAAGTTACTTAACTGCCTACTTTGGTCTTCTGTTAAGCACATGATAATACATCAAAATTAATGAAAATTAATATAAAACACCTGTGTATTGCTGGTGGCATGTGGATATTCATACCAGTGTGCAGTTCTTAAAATGAAATCATCTCTTTTTTAACAAGAAGAATCTGCCCTCTTCCCGCTCCTCCTCTAAGAGTGGCTTTTCTGTCTGTGGGAATCATCGTTTACAAGTTTGACCCATATTAGTCTAACCCTGTGTAACTGACTTCTATACCTAAGCTCTCTGATACAGGTTCCTATCAGTAGGCAATAGTGAGAAAGTCGTAGCAAAAAGTTTAAAATCTTTGATTTGCTATATTAGGTTTCTCCCCTGTCTCTTGCTTATGTTGCCTTCATTTTTCTTTGTATAATTTTCTCTTGGCTCCCCTTACACTTTTCTTCGTTCCTATGATAATTTGTGAGCTAATAGTTTCCAACCTACCTTTCCGTTCACCTTGAAACATTTTTCTGTTGAAAATTCTCTTCCTTTGGAAAAGTGTATTTGTAGAATTCAAAGGACAAGGAGTGGAAATCTAGCTGGAGCATCCGAGCCCCTGGCAGTCAGACCCAGCGTCTCTCCTGCAGGGCACCGACCTGTGCTGTAGTGAGTGAAGTGGATGAGCAGAGTGCTGATCGGGTCTCTCCGGAATGAATTTTGCCTGTCCAACCCTGGGTTGGGGCAGACGGAAAAAGGAACCAGGTTCCTTTCTGGATTGTTTTTACATTTCTTTTGATTTTTACACTCCTGAAGACCCTAGAAATAAATGCTAGATGACATCTTTTATCTTTCCTTCTCAAGGTGTAAAATAAGCTTTAATTAAAGAGGACTGTAAATATTCAGCTACTAGTATTGCTGTTTGGGGCCTGCAAGGTTACTGACAACCCACAGGCTCAGCCTGTGCTGCTCTTCCTGTGCCTGTCGCTGCCACAAGCCCCGGGGATGCTGTCTCTGGAAGTCTTTGGCTCACCCTTATTCCGCTTGGTCCAAGTGCTCTTATGCCTGAACTGGGACTTTTAAACCTCATGCAAAGGCTTGCAACAAAAGCTTTGGATTGCCCTGGACTAAAGGTCTCTGAAGTCAATGAGGTCACTGCAGTTGTCCTGCCACATGATAGACAAGACATATATTCATTCTGTCAGCAAATATTGATTCAGCACCTACTACGTGGTGAGCTCTGTGGTAGGTGAAGGACATGTATAGTTTCTGCATTCCTGGAATTTTCATTCTGGTAAGATCTGGAGGACAGCACTTATTTAAAAAAAAAAGAAAGAAAGAAAGAAATAATGCATCTCCTTCCTGACAGGAGGACCAGCAGAGAGCAGCCTGCTGACATTAATCTTTGCTTTGCTGTAACCCGTGCCTCACCTGAGCCTTATCGACCTTCTAAAGTTATTGAAAGATTAATAGGTTGTACATCCTCAACTTCTTGGGGTACCAGACCTCTTTAGCTGTTAATTAACCCAAAATTGGAACCCAGGATACGTTATAAACGTAAGCACACTGGAGCAATGAAAAGAAAGCCCAGCAGGCAGCCTGGGTCACACCAGTACCAGGAGTGCTGTATCTTTTCTTGCCAAACCAACACTCACAAACTAGTGAAGAAAAAAATATTGTACCAAAAATCATTTGCTCTTTATTTTATCATCTTATTTTTAATATTATTAGGTATGCATTACATACAATGATCTTCCATTTAAAATAGAACTCCATTTTTTCC